TCCACCGTGAGTATCTCTGTGAGTCTTTGAAGAAGATGTTCAGGTGTTTCTCCAGGCTTCAGTGGGAGGAATTGTTCATACATTACAGTATTACTGGAGTCAGGAACAATTATGATTCATGATCAAACTCATGAAACCGGTCAATGATGTGTCACATCAACTGTAACGACTGAAAAAAAACAAACAAACAAAACAACACCAGTAAATCAGGGACTTTTTTTTTTTTTTTACAGTGACAAAAAAAAAAACTCATTCTCTCACAGAACTCACAGTCTGGTCGACGTCTGACAGTGACAAAAAAAAACTCATTCTCTTACAGAACTCACAGTCTGGTCGACGTCTGAATGTTTTCTGTGCATTTTTTTATTCTGTAAACACAACTAAAAACGAGCGACAGAATCAGTCTTTTTCACCACAGACAAATCTTCAAGCAAACAAGCGTCGTGCGTGTTACTGTTACGAGGCTGGGAATCACCGCGTTCCCTCAGAGTACGAGTCACGTCTTCCTTCCTGTAGCTCCTGGTTTGCATGTATCTGGGTAGGTTTAGAGTGAGGGGTGCAGGAAGTCTATATATAATGTTGTGGTGAACTCAGTCAGCCCACCCTTCACCACTTCTTTAACCTTAAATCTCTGCTCCTTCTGTGGTTGTGCTACCAGACTGGTTCCAAAACACAAGAGCAGTTCTAAAAAAGCGACACGGTGTGTGACGAAAGCTTGGTTAGAGAGGGCCGTGAATTTAGAAATAGAAAATAAATGTAAATGTTAGGTTTCTGCCTCAGGAAATCGCTGACAGTTTCCTAGAGATGAAAGAACGAGCAACCAAAATGTACTTATTGAAATTACTCCTATATTATATTAGTAAACATGCTGAGTATTTTTCTTGTACTGTCAAGATTTAATTATTTATTTATATTTAATGAAATATAATTTTACAAAAATTATCCTGAACTTGAAGTGTGTGTTTTTTATTTTCAAAATTCATCAAGCGGGCCAGATTGAACACCCTAGCGGGACGGTTCTGGCCCGCGGGCCGTATGTTTGACACCCCTGGTCTGTACTTCTATGATACATACATTACACCACACTGATTTTGTGATGTTGTTTTTAAAGCTTACCTCTGAATAAATTACGATGAAGTTCCCAGATTTTTCAAAACTAAACATATAAAACGTTATTTAATATATATATATACTACAAAATTAGATTTTTTTTTTTACACGTTGCACAGCAGACTGTAAGACTGTTTTATTTAAGGCTGTGTAAAAATCTAATTTTAAGATATATTGAAGTTTTGTTGGAGGCTTAAACTCACTGTATGAGTTACACATGTTATATAACGGTTATATTTACATAATGTTGCTTGTGCTTTTCAATAAACAATGATTTATTTTTAAGATTTTTTTCGGTGTTTCCTTTAAAGCATTGTAGCCAAGACTGCGCTGCTTTGAGTCAAGTCAAAATCAGCGGTTACAATTCCGTTAACTTTTAAACTAACATTTAAAATCATAATATTTAAATCTTCCTCTTTATGTCCACTCTACCTAAAATGTCATTTTTTCATTAACAGAACCCCTTCTTTTTGTTCCGAGTTAGAGCAACGACTGACGACTCTATTGTGAGTCTTCTTCCCCATGGTACGGTACTGATTATCAGCGCGGCATTGCCATCTAGTGGACATAGTAATGTTAACAAGTGCACGAACAGCACTGAAAAATACAGGCGGAAGTCAAAACATTTTCCAGAGAAATTGAAAAAAGAAAACTTTTTAAATGTTAGAAATAACGAAGCTATTTCTGTTTTTGACCATTTGTAATTTTCGTTTTTTTAAATAAACCTGAAGACAAAAAATATATCGCTATTATTATGAAGTTTTCATTTGAGTTTAGTCGAACAGTCGAACTGCTCTGAGATCTAAGTGGATAAGACACAACAGTAACTCGTCAAAACTGTAGAAGAAACATCTGAACATCTGGACGTAATGTTACCAAATAGTATATGTGATTTCATGCAATCACATCTAACTGTGTTCTTGCCCGAGTTATGTTATAGACGCCCCCTGCAGGACAGTGTTGAGGCCACGTTTCATATTTTTTAACTATGTTCTTAGCAGCTCTCTTAAAAATAAAATAAATAGGAATTAGTTGGTATTTACTAGTAAATAGTTTTGAAAAAAAAATGGAAATGTACGATCATAAATATAAACAAAGAATATTATAATAACAATCTTGTCTCAGGTGATTGAAAAATATCTCATTTACCTAGTGACCAAACTGTGGTGTTTTGTCAGACGCAGCAGTGACTGTTCTAGTTTGGTGCACATTATTTTTTCCTCTCTCATTGCAGCCCCCAAAAAAACTCAGAGGAAGGAGCAGAGGAAAGGAATCAGGAGTGTGTGATGGGGAGCAGGAGTTTTTGGACAGGGAGCAGGTGAATCATTAACTGTAATCCACTCTCATTTATATGCATTCATTTTGCTCCTGTCAAGCGCAGCAGAGACTCAGACTCTCCCCCCGTACTCACACGCTTAACCTTGGCTGACGCCGGGATTCGTCCTCAGCAGAGACGTCCAGGATTAATGAGGATCCAGGAGACGGAGGAGACACTTCCACTCAGAAGACAGCAGCCCGGTGTCGTCTCCTGTTCTACTGCTCAGTTACAGGAGAGTATACAGTACACATCTACGGGACAGATATTGTTAGGACGTCATTGGTTCTTGGGCAGCATCCGGTCATCACTGTGAAAGTGAACTACAGTAGGACTTCAAGATACGATTTATGTTCCGTCCCACAACAGCACTCGTATCTCAATTGTGTTTTCTCCATTAAAAAAAACTAAAGACCAATTAATTCGTTCCAGCCCCAGAAATATACTATTAATTAATTAATTTAATTAACCCCATCTAAACATCAGAAATATAGATATAAAGAAACATATTGATAATATAAAATAACAGTAATTAAAATAACATTGTTATGATGTTGTAAAAATTGGTCAAATAACCCAGCGAGGGACAGCGCCACCTAGTGTTGAGTGGATAAAAGGAGCTCGGTCGAGCACTCATACCTCGATGTTCGTATCTTGAAGCCCCACTGTACTTGTCATTGTGACACAGCACACAACCAACCTGTGACATCTGTGTTTTAACCCATCACCACAGCCAGCAGGGGGCAGCTTAATCACCTGGGGAGCAGTGTGTTAGAGCATCTCAGTGGTAACTTGGCAGCTGCTAGACTCGAACCTGAAACCTTCTGGACTGCTTCCTTAACCAAAGTTTACAATGATGTTTATTTTAGCATTTGAAGTTTTTTTTTTTAGGTATAATCTACTTAAAAATCAAGTCAAGTCAGTAATGATCAACTGGTGGCCCGTGGGCCGAATGCCACCCACTCATCTGTCCCAGTGGAGCCCAGTGCACCATCCAATCCAGCCCACGACCAGATTCCAAAATCGTGAGAATAACAATGAGTGATCCTCACCATCACGACTCCACTGTGTGAGTGTCCGACCCCCGACGAGTCTGTCAAGAAAAATTCTGGCCCCCTGCTGGACGTAAAAGGAATGGAATAATTAGGTTTCACTCCCAGTCAGTGACATGATATCTAAATCCACTTTATTACTTCATCCAGATGAACAGACGTATGTTGTCAACATCTCCACCTGGGTCGGAACATAATCACCGTCACCGCAGTCGTAATCATCCTCCTCTGTGTTTGTTTGTTTTTCTCGTTAAAAGCTAAAGCTGTGATAAATAAAAAATAAAACATTTGGTCCTTAAATATGTTCTAGGCAACATGGTATCAGGGATTAAGACAGAAATCGTGTTTTTACCCACACAAAACATCAAACAGCGCTGAAAAAAGCTGGCAGAGAGCAACAGAAGGAGGGACTGCTGACGCAGCACGGGGCCTTGACGGCGGCGGAAGGCAGAGTGTCGCTGAGGGCCACTGGTGACAAGAGTGCAAGCGCCAAGAAACAGTTAGCGGCCGAAGCTGTGAAATCGGATGAAAGGCAGCCTGACGGACGAGTGATGAAAGACGGAGACGTCGATGAGCGAGGGAGGTTCACAGCAGACACAGACAGAGAGAGAGAGAGAGGCAGGTATTTACAGGACGGCGAGACGAGGCGCGGCGCGGCGAGACGAAACCAAGTGGAACACAGGGCACGGCAGAGCAGAACAACACAATAATATACAGAAGTCATCGGAGCGCACATGTAAGGTTAAGAGTTCTGTCTGGTTTCAAAACTAAACACCACACACCTGGTACAACAAAACTACCATGTGACCTAACTGATCTAAAACCATGTGTCTTTACACCGATGGGTTTTTTTTTTTTAACGCTATAATATTCACTAATCTGATAAGAAAATATTACACTTTGGTGAGTGATGGGATGAGGGGGGGGGGGTTTGTTCTATTGCCCGCAGTTTGAGAACACAATTCACGTTCTTCTTCACAGCACAAAGGGTGGTATTTTCTAACAGGTACTGTAGTACTGTAGTATTAGTATTTACGTCGACTCCTGGTACACACGTCACGTGTATTGCTGTTTTCAGTGTTTTTATATACAATAGAGGCTTAGCTATTGCTTTCTTTTCGTATTACAGCGCGACAGATGCACGATAGCGCCCCCATCTGGTCCAACAGACTCACACGCACACACACATATGCACACACACACAGGATGGGGCCTAAAAGGCGGTCTTCCTAGTCTTGGCTTGTCACATGAACACTAGACATTCTACGACGACCTCATCCTAGAGCAGGAGTGGGCAAACTGTACGGCCCGCGGGCCACGATGGGGCCTAAAATTTGACTGGGGGGGGCTGAGGGAGTCAGGTCAGGAGCAGATAGATGGAGCGTTAATATGAACTGAAACAAATGACATGTAAAAGTCAGTAAAGGTTAAATGTGCTCAGCCTCGTCTATGCCATCTATTGGTGAAATGCAGGCATTGCAGGGGAACAGCAAAAACATAATGAAAATAGAAATTAAAACATAAATTGGAAAGTTTTGGTGTCCCGGATTAAAAAGCCAAACGGGTCGTAGTTTGCCCATGCCTGTTCCAGAGTGAATGCACCAGTCCACGTGGGACCACCAGGGTCTCTGTGATTGGACGGACCACCCTGTGTAAAACCTCCTTTTTCACATGTTGGCAGGCAGTTTGTGCCTCAGTCCTTCTGAGTCTTTTCTGGTCAGTTCTAACTGAGAGTCCTGTTTCCCCCCTTTGGGGGAGGTGGGATTGGCAGGTGTAGCTGTGGGTGTAGCAGAAGACGCCTGGGGGGCCTGAGTGGGGGCAGAAGCTGCGCTGAGTTCAGGGGCAGCGGCAGCTGTAGTCGTTGGCATTTTCCTCGGGGTATGAGAAGAAGTAGGTGTGACGTTAGGGGGGGAGGTGATTGAGGAGGTGGTGCAGTGAGGAGTCGTGCTGGAAGATGATGATGATGATGAAGGGGAGGGGGGGGGTGGAGATGGTTTGGTGGAGCGACTAGACTCTGAGGGGGGGTTTGGTGGGAGGACAGGGAAAGGTTGTTTCACAGGATGAACTGAAAACTTCATTTTACCAGGAGAGCTAATGCTAACGGCCGCCGGGGCGGGGGCTGACGATTGGGTTGAAGTGAGGGGCGTGGCCTGTTTTGGGAACTGGCCGGAGGTGGGGGCTCTAACCGGGGGCTGTAGACAGGTCGTTGGACTCTGGGACTTACTGAGAGGGGGAGCTGATGAGGCAGTAACTGAAGAGGGAGGCAGGGTGGGGTTGAGGGTCTGCGTGGAGGCCACATACGTGGTAGTTTGAGAGGGCAGCTGAGAGGTGGTGGAGGTCCGGCTGCGTGGTGGCTGTGTAGGAGTTGGGGTCGGGGAAGGGGTTGGTGTTGGGACAGGGCTGAAACCAGACAATGGAGAGGCTGATGGAGGTGTGATGGAGGCCTTAGGTCGGGGGCTGGAGGGATGTGGAGGGGAGGAGGCGACCAGAGAAGATGGAGGAGAGGAGGTAAAAGAGGACTTTGACGCAAAAGGGGGTGGTAGTGGTACGGGGGTGGAAACAGAGGAAGGAGGGGGCGTGGAAGAGGGGGAAGGAGAGGAAGAGCGCGGTGAGGGTGTAGCCACTGGTTTTGGACGAGGGGTGGAGCAGAGAGACAGAGGGCTGGTGGCCGCCAGAGGTGGGGTGGAGCAGAGAGGGGGAGAGGACGACTGAGAGGGGGTCATGGTGACCGGTTTGGGACGAGGGGTTTGGGGGAGGTGGGGAGTAGGAGATGAGGGGGTGCGTGCGGGTGAAGGGGTAGCAGAGGAGAGCGGGGTTTGTTTAGTAGGTGAAGACGTTGGGGGCAAATGGGCAGCGGTGGCCGTGGGTAAAAGGGCAGGATGAGGGGCTGTGTTTGTAGGCTGTGACACAGTGGGCTGGTAGAGGTGGGCTGCAGCCTGCACCTTTGTGTTGATTGGTTGATTGGTAACCAGTTGTACTGGTGGGTTTGAGGTCAGCAGACCGGCGCTGCCCCCCCTGGCTAACTGACCCGCAAGGAAAGGAGCTGCCAACAAGTTACCACCAGAGGCCTTTCGATGGAGCGGTGGGTGAGGCTGCACGGCAGCCCACGAACGGTGCGGCAGAGTGGGCTGTGAGGCAGACAGTAACCTGGCCTCCTGGGTGAGTCTGCCCAGGGCTGGGAGACCCTGAGAGCTGGCTCCCCCGTGACGTAAAAGAGCCTCTTTTGCCCCCTGCTGCCCCGAAGCGGAACTGTTGCCTTCTGCTGCAGAGCTAACGCCGGCTGCTGGGTTGGCGGCCGGCACTTTGTGCAGCGGGTGAGTCAGTTGTCCTCCCCCTATTGGAGCTCCAAGTGAAGCGGTCAACAAGGAAGGGTGGTCTGGCTGGAGACGCAGGCTGTAATGGTGATTCCGACCTTGTTGAACCGACGTCGGGACAGAGGAGGCGGGAGTTGGTGGTGTTTTAGCGACTGGCGTGGACGCTATTCCGCCAGCAGGGGGCATGGTTGACGGAGAGGCAGGAAATCCTCCTCTGGGGGACAAACCTCCCATTCCTCCCAATGTCATCATCCCAATGAGGGAGCTCACGGAGGGACGGAGCGGCTGCAACACGGGAGGGCGTGGGGGAGACAGAGGGAAGGAGGAAGATGGAGAGGGGGAAACAAGAGGGGAGGGCAGGAAGAACGTCCCCCCGAGTGCATGCTGCTGCAACTGCTGAAGCTGCTGCTGCTGCTGCTGGTGCATGAGGGCGATGGCCACGTTACTGGTGGCTGCGGCCGTCTGCAGAGGGGCGTGGACCAGTGGGGCCCAGATGACGGGGCGTGGCCGGGGGGACACCGTGCCGCTGCCCCCCATGACTCCACTTCTTCCTGCTGCTGCTGCAGCGATGGCTTCCTGCATGGCCGGCATGCTGTCGTGTTTGACAATCTGCTGGACCAACATGCTGTCACAGGAACCCAGACTGCCTGCTGCAAGACCTCCTCCTGGACCGCCTCCTCCCCGACCTCCACCACGGCCCATGCTGCCCCCCAGTGAGCCACCCTGGGAGGACTTCCGCAGTAGCATGGAGTTCTTTCTGCCTGTTGGGGGAGGAGGGGGACATTAACCAAGGACAGGGTTAAAACTGAACAGATGAAAAACAGAATTTCTTTTTAGTGAAAACAAAACAGAACAATTTCCAGAGCTGAAGGTTTTAAGGATTATTTTCTTTTTTATAATCTATTCTTTGCGGAGAACACACTCGTCCATTATTATTTCAGCTTTTATTCCTTTCCTCCTTGTTCAAGGATAAACTTTGACACTCCAGTTGAAGACTGAATACTTTACCTGGAAACTTTAGAAACGTTTCTCGTTCCTTTAAGGTCAGTGCAGTATTTAAAAGCCAGTCGCTGCAGAGATAAAATGGAAGAAAATAACTTGTGCTGCTGTTTACCAATACGGTCCAGCCGGTCAACGGCCACAGTCTCGAAGGCACGTCGCATCATGGGATGTTCCTCCAGGACTTCATTAAAGCTGTCAACGCTCAGAGAGTACAGGCGACAGTAGGTATCGGCACGGACGCTGGCCGTCCTGCGTCCACGAGTCAACAGACAGATCTCTAAAAACAAAGACGAGAGAGACACAGTGTTTGGATTGAGAGGTCTGTCATCAATGTTGTCAACAGACGGTCGGTTCGTCCTCACCTCCAAAGTACGACCCGTCGCTCAGCTTGGTCTCCTTGTTGCCCCGTGTCAGCACGCTGACTCTGCCGTGTTGAATGAAGTACATTTTCCGTCCCACCGTGCCCTCGCGGATGATGAAGTCGGCCGGTTGAAACACCTCGAAGCGCAGTTTGGTCAACACGGCCGTCACAAAGTTGGGGTCAGCGTTGGCAAACAGTGGCATGTTAGCCACCAGGCTACGGCAGTTAAAGCTAACGATTTCCTGAAAGGAGAGGGGAGGGGAGAGAGAGAGACAGAGCACGTCTGAGACCACAATAATATGGCTGTGTTTAGGTCTGTGGTGTCTTGGTCTGTTGTATTTGGGTCTATCATGTTTGGGTCTGTGGTGTTGGGGTCTGTGGTGTTGGGGTCTGTTACCTCCTTGAGCGGCTCACTGAGTTCTCCGAGGATGTTCTCCTCGTCAAACATCTTGCCCTGGAAGCGGTGTTCGTAGTACTCATGGATCTTTTGTCG